TACATCTGCTATAAACATTCTTGTACAGTGTGTGTGTGAACATAGGTTTCATTTATCTTGAATTAAAAACTAGGAGTGAAATGCTGGGTCATACAGTAAACTGCTTAGCTCTGTGAGAAATACCAAGCTAGCTGTTTTGTAAAGCAGAGCTTGTGTTGATTCTGACTCATGGCGACTTGATGTGCATCAGAGTAGAATTACTTCATAGGGTTTTCGTGGCTGTCATCTTTATGGAAATTGATAACCAGACCTTTCTTGGGTGGCGTGACTGGATGGGCTCAAACCGCCAGCCTTTAGGTTAGTGGCCGGGAAAAAACTGCTTATACCACCCAGGAACCTTCTTCAGCACATAGATAATGCGTGTTATAAACGGCTGACTCGATGGCAAATAACAACAACAACAATTATTTTTTAGACGTATTTTCATTTCCAATTGTTTACAACTAATGTAAGGAGCACTGATGGTGCAACAGTTTAACCACTTAGCCGTGCAGCCTGTAACCTTGCTACACCCAAACGAAACCAAACTCACTGCCATGGAGTTGATTCTGACTCCTTGTGACCTCCATTGGGTTTCCAAGGCTGTCAGTCTTTACGGAAGCAGACTCCCTCATCTTGGAGGCAACTTATGGAGCAACTGGTGGGTTCCATCCATTTGGTTAGCAGCCAAATGCCTTAACCACTACACCACTAGAGCTCCTTGGAACTTACTAATTTAGAAATTTTCTCTATAGATACTCATGTCATCTGTGAACAGAGATGGTTTACTTCTTCCATGCCAGTCTTTTTCTTGCATGAAAATGTAGGCTGGGAATTCCAGTGTGGCAGGAGGGGGGTCATGGCCTTGTGTTCAACCTTAAGGGTGACCTTCAGTGTTTCACCATAAGCTATGATGATGTCAGCTGCCGATTTTGGGGGTACACTCCATCTAGTCTCCTGAGTGCTTCAATCATGAGTCAGTAGTGATTGTATCAAGTGTGTTTTCTGCTGAGAAGACCCCCTTGTTGTCTTTAGTCTTTTTTCTTTTAGTCTGTTGATACAGTGACTCATACTGCTTGGTTCTCTGCTGACCTCCAGCCCTGCATTCCTGGCATCAATCCCACTTAACCACATCTATCATCCTTTTATATGTTGCTGGATTGGGTTTGCTGGTACTTGGTGAGGATTTTCATGTCTGTGCTCCTGAAGGTTATTGGTCTGTAGTTTTCTTTTTTTATAGTGTCTTTGGTGGTTTTGGTGTCAGGATAATGCTGGCCTCATAGAATGAGTTGGGCAGTTCCTTTATCTTCTGCTTTCTTGAGAGTTTATATAGAATTGGTGTCATTTCTTTAAAAGTTTGGTCAGTGTTTATCCGATGAAACAACTTTGTTACCTCTCTTTTAGTTCTATAGAATACATTTCCCTTAAAAACTGTGGGTTTCCTTTTGTGTTAGGTGTGGGCTCCCCTATTAGACGAGAACCACATGTGTACACAGCTGTCTTTGACACAAGCCTGTCTACACTGTGGGTAGTGAGTGGGTCACGGTGGACCAGCGGTGATTCTGAGAAGCTCTTCCCTGGCTGAAAGGACTGAGACTCTCATGTCTTTCTGAGGTCTAAACAGCAGGTCTGACAGCCTCACTCATGATTTGCTCTTAAGCCTGAGCCATTTGTGACTTGGAGAGCCTTTGCTGGTACAGAGCCATCTTGTGCCCTGTGTTCCCTCTAACTCTTGCTTTCTTACTGAATGGTTTCTCTTTGGCTGTTGCTGTTTTTGTGACTATGGACACCACATATGCTACAGAGTAGAACTAACTGTCCCACCAGGTTTTCCAGGCCTGTTTCCTTGTGGTGCCATTGGTGGGTTTGAACCGCCAGTCTTCTGGTTCCCAGTCAAGTACAAAGTGTTTATGCTGCTCAGGGACCTTTGAATGGTTTCTTTTTAATCTGTTTCTCTTGCAATACCATATCTGCACCACCAACAGATGGTTTGTGCTTTCAGCATCTGTCTGGAAGTCCCCTCAAGGGTCCACAGGCTTCACTTCGTCTCTGATTTCCTGCCTGTGGTAGGAACCAGTGGTATCTTTCTCAAGCCTTTGGTTGTCTCTCCTTGGTGCTCTTTGGCCTTCATTAATGGCATCCTAAGGACCTCTGGTGACATAGTGCCCTAAGGCATTTGAGTGTTAACCAGAGGGTTGGTGGTTCAAACCCACCAGCTGCTCCATGGAAGGAACACAGGCTATCTACTTCTGTAAAGATTTACCACCACAGAAACCCAATGGGGGTCACTATGAGTCGGAATCGACTGGATAGCAGTGGGATTTTTGGGTTAATGACATCCTGGTCCCACAACAAACACCACAGGTTCTGGGTTTTTGTTACAGCCACACCCCACTTTCAGGCAGTTTCTGTGTCATCATTGATTGTTGCTTCTTATGGTTACCTAGTGCCACTCTGACAAGAATATACCACAAATGGGATGGCCTTAACAAATAGGAGTTTATTCTTACAATTCAGAGGCTTTAAGTCTGAGTTCAAAGTGCCAGGCTCTAGAGGCTGGGTGAAAGCCCCTCAACCAAAAAAAAAGCAGGGGGACCAGGTTTGCTGGTCCAATTGAGCCTGGTGGAACCACTGAGCCTATGGCCCCTAGCTGCCCTTCAGGTCTGGAATTGAACCCACACCTGTGGCTTCCAGCCAAACAAAAGACAGGCATATGAGTTGAACATTTACCTCAGGTAGATACACTCCTTGGAGAGAAGAATCATGGGAGAAAGAAGGGCTGCTTATGCACAGGGAGACAGCTCAGGTGGCAGGAGTCCATGGAGGGATGGACACCAGGAAGAGGTAACTATGGGGAGGAAGGGGGAGGGGATCTGTTGCATTGTGGTAAACTGGTCAATGTCATGAGACAAAGTGTATGTGAACTGCTGTGTGGAAAGTGAATTTTCTCTATAAATCTTCACCCAAATCACAATTAAAAAAAAGAAAGGTTGAGAAAGCCCCTCAACCTTGGGGTCTAGCTCTGCCTCCTGCTCCCGGCCCACTGAAGCTAGAGGTGTTTCTTCACTCAGACAGCTGCTGGCTGCTGAGGCTGAGAAGCCCCCAGGTTGACAAGTAAAAAGGCACAGTCCCTATGTTACCAAACCACACGGCAGGCCATTAACTTAAGTCCATTGTAAGTCCCGAGGTTGGCAGAACATAGCAGGCTGCTGAGCAATGACATGGCTACATATAGGGTCCAAGTGTGCCATAGGCTCGAGATTTATATACAGGAAGCAGACCACATCCCAAAGGCAGCTACTCAGCTGCTTGTGGTAGATCCCACCATGGAGTTGATTGCCAGTCTCATCATGGGGAATAACTACCACCAGCTTCCCAGCCACTCAGCCAGGCCCAGCCAAGTTGACACACAAACATAACTCCCACACTGCTTCACAAATCACTCCAGTGCTGGTTTGCACAACAGTGGTTGATCCTCAGCGTTCTGGGCTGAGGTGTCTGGAAGTCTGCTGTTCCTCCTGGGGAGGATCTGGTGTTTCAGGGACAAGGACAGTCACAGGGTAGGTGGTTCTGTTTGGAAATGAAATACAGTGAAAGGAGTGTGTGGGGGCAGCTCGTCGACAGTGGGGGTGCATTGTGGGCTGTCTCCCAGATCCACTTTCCCGAATGGTTCTAAGGTAGGAGTTGGCCAGAGCACTGGAGGTGGAGGCATGTGCCAAGGAGAACGCTGGAAGAGCTGTGGGGCACTGCATGGCAGATGGCCAAGGTGTTGGGTCCACAGGGTCTGGAAGTTCCTCTGCCCTAGAGCTTCCCTCTGCAAGTCACAGCCGCAGGTGGGTGGGTGGGTACACCTGGGCCATGGTTGTCAGGACTCAGTACAGCACCAGGGGAGCAAGGGCCGAGTGCCCATGTCTGGGCCCCGCAGGGTCATCATTACTACTTTGCCTCCACCTCACCCCCCACTGTACCTGCCCGCCCCATGCCCTTCACACACCCCACCACACACACCCACCGTGCCTCACCCCATGCCCACCCTACACCTAGCACCTGCCCCACCCCCACTCCCCATGCTCACCCACACTCCTCCCTGCCACCACTGTGTGCCAGCCCCACACTTCATGCCTCTGCTGGCAGCTCTGCCTGGGGGAAAGAGGGAATTCTGAAAGCATTGGCCCAGTTTCACCAACCTAGTGGCAGGGCAACCTGTGCCCTGACATTTGGGGTACCCCTAGCCCTCGAGGGCTCCCTTCTAATGGGACCAGCAGTGACATGAGGTGGTCATGTGGGCAGCCCAGTGGAAAGAAGGACATCGGGCAGTGCTATCAGGATGGCACTTTGAGGTCCTGCCTTGAGGCCCCTCCCCCCAAAAAACCCCACAAAAGCCAAGCCTACTGCCGTGGAGTCAATTCTGACTCATAGCACCCTTAGAGAACAGAGTAGAACTGCCCCACAGGGTTTCCAAGGCTGTCCATCTTCACAGCAGCAGACCGCCACATCTTTCTCCCACACAGTGGCTATTGGGTTTGAACCTCAGACATTTTGGTTAGCTGAGTGCTTAATCACTGCACCACCAGGGCTCCTTTCTACACACGCAGCAAGGGTAAAATACTAAACACATCCTCCTGTGGGTGGAACCACATGTGCTGGACAAGAGGAGGAAGTAGGCCCGTGGTGATTCCAAGGCTGTCAGAGCAGCCGGGGCTGGTGCACCTTGTCTAGCCAGGAGGGCACCAGGCCTCTTGACTCAAAATGCACTCTGACAGTTCTGGGTAGACTCCCTGGGCTACATGGGGGTCCCAACATCCTGGAGGGTTGGTGTTGGCCCCTTTGCAAACAGAGAGATGCTATGTAACTGGCAGAAGGGCCCCTGATAGGAGGGGCAGAGCCACCTGCTATTGGGGGGTACCGGAAGCTTCTGAGGGGCTGGGACACGGAGAGGGCCTGCAGCATTGGAGCACCTGCCATGGGTCTTTAGCCCAGAGTGGTGGCAGCCACTGGGCACCTGATTCGCTGCCCTGCAGGTGCTGGCCCTGGACACGAACATCACGAACCAGGTGAACAAGCTACGCCGGGATCTGCTGCGTCTGGTGGGCGTTGGTGAGTTCTCGCCGGAGGCACAGTTCCAAGACCCCTGCCGCTCCCACGTGCTCCCGGAGGTCATCTGCCACAGCTGCAATTTCTGCCGGGACCTGGACCTGTGCAAGGACTCTGCCTTTGCCCAGGTGGGCCACTTCTGCCAGCCAGGCCCTGCCTAAGCCCCTTGCCACCCCAGGGGGCCCACCCTGTGAGTGTGGGAGGGGGCCGCGCAGTCAGCAGTGCCCCTGAACTGACCCCTCTTGACTTTGGGCTCCCCACCACCATCCCAGCACTTCCTGGACTTGGGGCTGGGCTAGTGGGGTGGGAGGCCTAGACCAGGGGTCATTTGCTTCCCTTCTACCAGGACGGGGCGGTCCTGCCTCAGTGGCTCTGCTCCAACTGTGAGGTGCCCTATGATCCCACCACCATTGAGGCAGCCCTGGTGGATGTGCTGCAGAAGAAGCTGATGGCCTTCACACTGCAGGACCTGGTGAGCGTGCATGGATGAAGGGCCCGGCAGTGGCTACGTGGAATTGTAAAGTATCTGGGGTGGGGGGGCACTTGGGCGCATGCATGTGTGTCTTAATGTGTCTTGAGCACATGTATATGTCCTTTTGTGGGTGTGCATATCTGGGGATACATGTGTGTGCGGTTGTTTGTGTGTCGGGGCATACGTGTGCATGTCTGGCCATGCATGTTAGGATGCGTGTGCATGTCTCTGCATGTATGTGTCTGGACACGTGTGCACAGGTGTGTAGGTGTCTGGGGTGGTATCTGTAGCTGTCACTGGGCTTTTCAAACCACGATGCAGTCCCTGATTGAGGTTAGTCCACTGCCCTGTGCTGCCTGCTCTGGCCATGAGGTTCTCGGTGCACACGCTGAGCTCACGTGCCCTGACCGGCTCCCATCTCAGGTCTGCCTGAAGTGTAGCGGTGTGAAGGAGACCCACATGCCCATCCACTGCAGCTGTGCGGGTGACTTTGCCCTCACCATCCATACCAAGGTGGGCCGTGCTCTGTGCACCTCCCTCAAGCCTCAGCCTCCTCCTCCTAGGGGTCCAGTCTTAACTGGAGGTGACTGTCCACTCCTCCAGGTCTTCATGGAGCAGGTTGGAATCTTCCGGAACATTGCCCAGCACTATGGCATGTCTTACCTCCTGGAAACCCTGGAGTGGCTGTTGCAAAAGAGCCCCCCACTGGGCCACTAACCAACTGGGGGGGCTGTGCCAGCATGATCTGGTCCTGACATAGCTGTTCTAGGTGGGCAGCCAGGCTCTCCAGTTTTTCGGGGAGCACCTGGGGGCCATCCACTCCCTCTGGGCATCCTGAGTGCTCCCGGGTCTGCAGGGTGAACTAGTGTCAGCAGACTGGTCCAAGGCAAGTCGCCTCGGTGAGGTCATAGTGGTCCTCAGGGAGAGTGGCTGTCAGGGGAGTCACCATGGCCCTGGAGGTCACTGTGATCCTGGGGCATCACTTCCCGCTGAATAAAGAGTGGCACCTTTGGTTGTTGTCTGTGCTTCCCTAGGCTGGAGGTTGCATTGAAGAATGTTGTTCCTGGGGGCCTCCTGCCTTCTGGGGGTCCTGTTTATTAGACACCCTGAACTTGAGGTCTGGGTTTGGAGCCCAGTAGCCAGGGGGACAGGGTGGTGGGAGGACCTGGCCAGGACATAGTGGGCACCAGTGGTCCACACAAGGGCCTAAGTCTGTTCCTTGTCACAGTGATACACAACAGCTGTGCTGCAGAGCCAGCCCAGGGGTGTGCCTTCCTCTGCACAGGGAGCCGAGGTGGGGTGGTTCCAGGAGTGGCCTCACAGGGGCCCTGTGGTGACTGCCCACTGCCTTGGTACGCTACTCACCTACTAAGCCTGCATATTTTATGTCATGCCCCAGATACCACTGTGTCCCTTTTGTCAGCTAGGTTTCTATTCAGGTGCTATCTGTGCTGGCTTTGTGCTGTTGAAAGAGGCAGGGGGGCAGGGTCCCAGGCAGGCTCCTGCCACCTGGTGTCCTGTGAGGCCCAGTTTGGGGACCTGCACTCCCCAACCCTGTGCTGTCCCCTGCAAGAGTCAGGCAGGCTCTGTGTTTTTGGTTAAATGAGCCTCTTCTTCTCTGCCTTGGACAGGGACCAATGAAAGCAGAAAAATAAGCTTTGGCGGAATTAGGCAGGCAGCAGATTTTAGATATGGTCTTACAAGCTTATGGGTGACCCATGTCGTGGGGCCTGGGCTGGCCAGGGAGGGGTCTGTGAGGGGCAGTGCCTGCGCAGCCACCTCCCATGGCCACTGCCCAAGCTCATCCTGGTCATTGACTCCTAAAATGTTTACTATTACTTTTCACTGTTGGGAAAAGGAATCTTATCTTTGAAGAAGTGGAGAGCAGATGAGTAACTGGATCTGCCCAGGACATCCGAGGGTGCTGCAAGTGGACGGGCCAGCAGCAGCTGGTACTGAGGCGGTGGAGTGGAATCAAATCAAATTAGGGCTGTGGGGGAGGGGAGCAGGCTAACGAAATTTCCTGGAAGGGAGATGCTGCCGGTCAGGGAGGGGTGTGGCAGGACATGATCACCCCAGGGGACACTCATGCCATTTCTGTGGTCATAGCCTGGGCTGTTCCCACAGGTCCACCATTGAAGACCAGGGGCACTGGAGCCATGGACCAGGGCACTGGTTGGACCTAGGCTGGTGGATGCCCTGGGTCCTACAGATGGGGCCCTGCTTATTCTGCTGCAGCCGACTCCAGCAGAGACACCTGAGGCTACAGAAGGGCCAAAACAGCCTGGCCTAGCTCCTGACTCTAATAGAGGCCCAACTGGGAAAACCGGTTCTTCCCAAACTAAAGCTAGACACCTTGGCAAGTGGGTGGGAGGCCACTAGTTCTGATGACCTGTGGGACCAAACCTGAGGATGGAGGAGCTGGCCAGCCCGGCTCCACCGGGCTGGAGTAAAAACATCTGTCAACGGAGATGGGGCTCTCCTGAGCAGGTGACGGGGGACCCACCTCTGACCCCTGGTTCCAATGACGACCACAGAATGTCATATGAGATGTGAACACAGGAGGGTCTGCCTGGGTCTGGACCTGCCACCTTGTCTCAGTGGTCCTCTTTTGGGGCGGTGGCTACATTTAGCACAGTGCCGAGGAAGACCCAGAGCCAAGTTCTATCCCCCAGATAGGCTGGATGGGCAGGCGCCAGTCTGAGGCTGGGATGTAACCCAAAGCATCTGAAGGCATCATAACTAGATTACGCGCTGGCCTGATCCAGTTAGTGCTAGCCCTGAGCTCCCACTCCTTCCCAGGCCACCCCCCCTTACCCTTCACCTCAGCTCTGCTGGCCCTCCCCAAGCTCAGGTTTTTGGGTGTTGAGTGGGCCAAGGAACCCAGCTTCCTTTTCCACAGCCCACCCTCGCCACCTCCATCAGTAGTTCATGCCATTCTCCCATCCTGGGGGAAGGGCTGCACATGAGACTGGGGGCAGCACCACATGGTCCTGGTGCCTCTAGCCTCAGTCCTCACTGCCACTGGTGCCCCTAGTCAGTGGATGCTGACATGGTGGTGACTGAGGCACCCTCACACCTAACACCCAGGCCAGGGATCCCCGCTGGCCCCCACTGGTCACTCTCTGCCAACCCCCAACCCAAGAATGAAGATAATGGTTGTGGTCACAGGTTTAATGGGCTCTGGGCATGTGATCTTTGGCTACAAGGCTCATGAAGGGTCTGGTCAGATAGGCTGTGAAAGATTACACTACATGGAGAGAGGCCAGCCAGGAGCAGGGTGGCCCCTCAGCTCCCAGAGGCAGGGGTCCTGGGGCTCTGTGTGAGGGGGCAAGGTGGGCACATAACTGGGAAAGTAGCAGCTGGAGGAGGACAGTGAGAACTTGCCTCTCCATGCAAGAGACCCCAGGTGGCAGGTTGAGGGGGCAAGGGCTGGAGTTGGGCCTTCCCACAGAAGGGGTTGTCTGGGGCAGGCAGCAGACCTGTGTGGCAGGGCTCCATCTCTGGAGCCAAGACTTCAGGGGGCCAGTTTCTGCTGGGCCCAGGTCTGCAGGTGTGGGGTGGTAAGGTGGTAGGGTGTCAGAGGCTCTGAGTTGGGTCAGACATTTGGGGTCTACGGGTGTGGGGTGCTGTTGTGGACACTCAGGCAGAGAGCCCTTGTCCTACAGTTGGATTGGGACTGTCCACAATCTGCTTGTGCCACGCAGAGAAGCAGTGCAGGCTGGCCATAGGGTGGCCGGCTAGCTGCCCCGTCCTGGGGCAGGACTGGGTGGCTGGCCTGCTGGGCAGGGTGGGGGTGGGGCCTGACCCAGGACTAGGGCCAGAGTCACAGGCCAGCTTGCCCCAGCCTGCCTTGGTGTACACACCTTGTCAAACTTCTTGTGGCTGTAGACCTTGTTCTTGTTCATGAACGTGAGCAGGATCCAGTCACACAGGAAGGAGCCCTGGGCCAGTGGAAACCAATACTCAGGGCTGGCCAGCTCCCCCCGACCCTGGGCCCAGGGGTCCTTACCACCCCAATGGACGTCAGCGCTGTGGCCAGGTTGATGATGGTGGGGATCAAGCTGAACTTTCCTGCCTAGAAAAATGGGCCATGAGGACCTTGTGCCTAGTGCCGGCTGACAGCCTGTGGGTCAGTCAGTGGAGTGCCAGCCCCTGCCTACCTGACCGTGCACAATGACATCAATGCGGATCCCATAGGCCTTGATGAGCGTGCGGGCGGTGGTGCCGTTCACCTCATAGTACTTGGCAAACCTGGTGGAAAGACCTAGCAGCAATCAGGCGGCCACGCCACCTCTGCCTGCCCTGAGACCTGTGGGGAGCATGGCAGGTGGGCAGCCGAGTGGGTGATCCTTGTGAGAGGGGTCCCCCTTGAACTGCTGCCTTATGACAGAACCATGTTGGTCTCAAGGCTGAGGGTACCTGAAGTTATAGCCAGATGAGGCAGGAACATGCTTGGGATCGAGCCGCCGGAAGGAGTACTTGGGGTTGCATTTGGATGCTGAGAGGTCCAGGTCACAGTCCCAGTTGATTATGACCCCGATGACCCCACCCTGCAGAGGAGGGAGCCCTGGTCTGAGTCTGATGTGGACCTTCGGCCAATGAGCCAAGGATGCAGTTTGTGGGGGCAGGGGGCTCAGTGGGTGCCCAGGGCAGCACAGGGCTAGATCCAGGAGAGCACGTGGGGATGCTGGCAGCTGGCTGGGAGTGCCTTGAGTCAATAATTCAGCAGGTGTCACCCAAGCCCAGGAGGCTCAGGCCGATAGTGTTTCTCTCTCCTCTGCCTGAGCCAAGTCAGACTGACCAGGGCTGAAAGGGGCCCTTTCTGCTCTAACAGCCTGTCGTCCTGGCCCGGCTATGTCTGGGTGTCCTGTCCACCCACTTGCCTTGTGTGCCAGCTCTGTGAAGTTCTCCCCAGCTTGCTCCACCAGGAACCCCAGTTTGAAGATGGGGCAGTAGAGGTCAGAGACCTCATCAAAGCTGCAGTGTTTCAGGTAGTCGTCCTCCCTACTGGCTATGTTGCCCCTGAGAAGTAGACCAGGGTGGGAGGGGGTGGATAGCAGGAGCCACATTCAAGGTCGGTGTGAGTGAAGGTAGCCCTCCCCAAACATGCACTTCCAGTAGGCAATGTCTCCAGCAGCACCCCTAAACCCTGGCTGTTCCCCAGGGGCCATCTGTACTGGCTCTTACTTGGAGAACTGGAACTTGGGGTAGTGGATGCTGTTCTTGATGAGGATAGTGAAGTTGGGGGCCATCTTGCCCAGGAACTGGCTGGGGACACAGGCTGTGTTCAGTTTCCTCCCCTCAGTAGAGGCCCCTCTGTCCCCTGCCCAAGGCCTGTCTACACAGCTGACAGGAGAGAGGAGCTTCTGTGTCTCTAGGGACAGCTGCAGGGTCAGGGACTGCACACCTGACTGAGGCTCCATCTTCTGCTGGGCACCAGCCAGACACTTCGCATGTCTTTGAGGGGCCGTGGTAATACGGCACACAGTGCCCAGTCCGCAGCCCTGCAACAGACACCCTGAGTGGTGGCCAGCAAACACACCACTGCCCCACCCCAAATGGCGCCCACTGACCGTTTCCCAGCATGTCCAGCTCCCCGGCCACACAGTCCTCGTCTGAGTTGCAGCTGGCATTGCTGACCCTTATGCTCTGTGGGGACAAGGGCTAGTGCAGCCTCAGGATGGACTGCTCCCCCTCCCTCCCCAGGGCCCCCCTCCAGGTCCTGCCCTCACCTCAGGGCAGGTCCCAAGCATCTGGGAGGGGGTGACCTCCATCCTGGTGATGACGCTGAACACACTGCCTCCCTGGTTAGAGAACAGACCCGGGCGTGATGCCCCCCTGCAGTGCCCACCCTCATCTTCAGCAGCTTGGCTGGGAACTCAGTGAAGACAGAGGTCTCAGGTGGGGATGGAGGGGAGGCCTGGCCGCACCTCGGGGGGCTTCACGTACTCCTCTACATCCCACACTCTGTGCTCGGAGGCGCTGATGCCTTTGACCTTGGTGATGATGGAGCTCTCAGGGCCGGTCTCCCTGTCCTGGTAGCTCTTCTGCAAGATGAACACATACCTGCGGGGGTGGAGCAGGGTGATGCCCCTGGGGCCCTGTTTTCCTGTGGCTGCTTCGCTACCTCCGGGGACCCGCCCGCCCCAGGGCGCCGCCCCGGCATCCGCACCATACGAAGTAGACCAGGATCAGAAGCTGCACCATGCGGTACACGACGCCCAGGTGCCGGTTCTTCACCACCATCACCTTGGGTGTCTCGTAGTCCCAGAACGCAGACCAACAACCCTGGGCCAGGCGCCGCACGGTCCCCATCCCAGGGGGCTTCGGCTCCAGCTCCACAGCAGCCATGGTAGCCTGGCCACGCGGGCCCCACTCCGGCTGTTCAGACTCAAGCGCACGTGCACGGACCGGCGGGGTCCGGCCCCACCGTCCCCCACTGCGCAGCCCTGCAGCCTCCTGCGCTGGGAAGTGGAGGTAGAAGCAGATCGCTGCCGGCCGGGAAACTGATACCAACCAGACTAAGAACTTGTTTTTAAACACTGCCAAGAAGGGGAGGCACCCGACGGCCTCCTGGCGTCTCCACGTGGACACAAAGGGCACCACACACAAATCCAAAGCAGACCTTGATCCCGCCCTGGATTTTCCCCGCGTCAGTCAAGGCATCGCCGGCCACCCAGTGTTTCACAACAGAAAGTGCAAGTCTTTGCCCCAAAGCCCCACTGGTGCGCGTCTGCCCTCCCATTCCAGCTCCCCCCATCCACCCATCTCAGGCTCTGAGCTCCAGGCTTTCCTCTGTTTCCAATCTTTTTTTCCTCCCTTAGTGAACCAAAATCTCAAAAGCAAATTTTAAATCCCCGTCCCCACCCTTATCATTTTGAAACAAACCCCAGATATCACATGACTTCCCTATTGCTATGCAAAGCCCTCAACAGGGGCATGGGGGTGAGGCTGACAGCAGGGGCCATGCAAGACCCCTCTGATGATACCTGAGATCCCAATGACCCTTCCTGACCCTCAGCATGGCCCCTGTGAGGACACCAGGGGCATCAGCTATGCATCCTCTTGGAGAAGCAGCCTGGGTCCCCTGGCCTGTGGTCCAGGAGGACTTGCCCCATCCCAATCATCCCAGGGGGCCTGGAGAGCTGCCCTGCCTCTGGGGCCCACAGAGGGCACTGCTGAGAGCAGGAAGGGTGCTCCCTGTGCCTGGCAGGGGAGTGGCCAGCCAGCTTGTTAACTCTGGTTACAAGATCAAGATCAGAAGGTAAGGGACTTGCCACTTGTCTCAGCCACATGAACTGCTGGGGGCAGGGGCAAGCCTCACATCTGTCAAAGGTGTTAACAGCATCATTTTTGCAGTGGAATGGAGTGAATGCGTTCAAATTGTCTTCTATTTGTAGATGTATGCTCCGGTACCTAGAAAATCCTAGACTCAACAGGGAAACTACTGAGACTAAGATTCAGTAAAGTAGCAGGTGCAAGATCAACATCCGAAGGTCGTCAGTTCCTTTGCACTAACAAAGAGAACTCTGGAAAGGAAATCAGGAAAACAGTACCTTTAAAAAAAAAAAAATTATATATATATATATTTTGTAAGAGTTTGTTTTATGTTCAATGTTACGTGTGCATTTAGTTTCACTCCCTGTTTACCATCCCCGACCCTAACCCAATGTCCTCCCTCCCTGCCCCTCTGTGCTCCTCATAGTTATGTACTCCTGTGTGTCCTGCATTTCCTCCATAAGAATGGTGCCCCTCTGGTGCTCCGTGGTCGATTGCTCCAAGGGGTGCACTTCCATAGAGTGTATGAGTGTGTCACCCTGGGTTGAGTGGTCTGCATGTACTATTAGGCTGAGAGGCAGTGCCTGGGAGTGAGTTTTGTTCCAGGCCCAGAATGTATCCCAGGGCCATAGTATTGGGGGTCTCACCAGACTCCATGCAACCAGTAATTCTGGTCATTATTGAGTTTTTGGATTTTGTTCCACGTTTTTCCTCCCACTCTATCCAGGATCTCTAGATTTGATCCTCTCCTGGGTGGTTGGCATTGGTAGCTGGGCACCATCTAGTTCTTCTGGTCTTGAAGGCAAAATAATACCATCTTAAATAACCACCCAAAAGATGAAGTACTAAAACTAACCTAACTCACTGCCATCGAGTCAATTTGGCTCATAGCAACCCCTCCATGGGTTTCCGAGGTGGTGTCACTACAGAAGTAGATTGCCCAATTTCCAAGGAATGGCTGGTGGGTTTGAACCTCCACCTTTCTGGTTAGCAGTCAAATGCCTTAGGCACTACGCCACCAGAGCTCCCAAAGATGAAGTATGTAGACATAAATCTAACCACAGACACAAAAGATCTATAAAAAGAAAACTACAAAACACCTGGAGAAACCAAAAGAGACTGTGTTAGACTGGGTTCTCTAGAGAAACAAAACCAGTAAAGCTAATAGAGAGAGAGAAAGAGAAATTTATCTTAGAAAAATGGCTCATACACTCATAGAAGCTGGCAAGTCCAAAGTTCTTGGATCAAACATCAAGCTGGAGGTTGTTCCCAACTCACGCAGCTGCAGGGGCTGAGGAGCTCAAGGTTGGCAGTCAGTATACAGGCTGTTGACTCCAACGAATGTCAAATCCAAGATCTCCAGGCCAAATGGTGGATTGTTCACTTACGGACAGTGTAGGCAGCACAATAGAATCCCGATCCACAGGAGAATGTCTCTTTTCCCAGGATGTCCATAAATATACTGGAAGCAGGCCACACCCCTAAGGAAACTCCCTTTCAATGGATTGGCTGCTCAAAATATATACATCTGATCCCATCATGGGAATGACCACATCACAACTGATTAAACCATACAGAATTGTGGTCTAGCCAAGTTGACACACAGCTCCACCTATCACAGAGACCTACCTAAATAGAATATACTACAGCTTAAAGACAGGAAGACAACATGGTAAAAACGACAATAGTACCCAAAACAAACTACAGCTAGAAGGCAATGCTGATCCAGATCCCATCATCATTCTTTAAACAGGGGTAATGTTAATGACCAACTTTATGTTGAAAGGAGAGAGACCCCAGATAAGCAAAAACTACTAAAGAAGAAGAAAGTGCAAGGTCTCATACTCCCTGACCCAGAACGTACTACAGAGCCACAGTGGTCAAAGCAGCCTGGTGCTGATACAACGACAGACACACAGGCCAACGGAGCAGTGAGAACGCAGAGGTGAATCCATCCACCTACAGACACCTCATCTTTGACAAAGGGCCAAAATCCTGTAAATGGGAAAGAGAAAGTCTTTTTAAACAAATGATGCAGGCAAAATTGCATATCCATTTGCAGAATTAAACAGGATGCATATCTCACACCATATACAAAAACTAACTCTCGATGGATCAAAGATCTAAATGTGAAACCCCAAACCAGATCTTCCAAGGAGTGGCTTTTCAAAAAAACAAAAACTAGGGCCAAACTTAGGAGGAGCCCTAATACATGGCATGAATATACTATCAAACATAACTGAAAATGTACAAACAGCAGAAGACCAACTACCTGGGACCTCCTAAAAATTAAACATTTATGTGCATCAAAAGACTTGGTCCAAAAAGTAGAAAGAACTTATAGAATGGGAAAAAATCCGATATTTTGGACAAGGTACAACATTCATAGATGTTTCAACACCTCAACAACAACAACAAAAGAAAAAGGGCAGAAGACATAGACACCCTTCCACAGAAAACATTCAGACAGCTAACAAACATGAAGAAATGCTCACGATCATTGGCCATCAGAGAGATGCAAATCAAAACAACAACGAGATCTCTCTCCCTAGCATTAACAGCAAAGTTCAACAAGACAGAAAAGAAATGCTGGCGAGAGTGTGGAGAGACTGGAACCCTCCTACCCTCCAGTGGGACTGTAAAACGGTACAATCACTGCAGAGAGAGGGATGGCGCGTCCTTAAGAAGTTGGTAATAGAAATGCTGTTGATCCCACTACAAGGTGTATGTCCTAGAGAAGTAAGAGCTGTGACACAAAGAGATATATGCACACCCTGTTCATTGCAGCATTGTTCACAATAACAAAAGATGGAAATAACCTAAGTGCCCGTCACAGGATAAATGGACAGACAAACTTTGGTACATACACACAATGGAATACTATGCAACACTAAAGAACAATAATGACTCCGCAAAACATCTCCTAAAAATGGACGACCTGAGAGAACCTTATGCTGAGTGAAATTAGTCAATCACAAAAGGACTATTATGGTATGAGACCAGTACTGTGAAAGCTGAAAGGTTTATACACAGAAAGAATTGTTCTTTGAAGTTACTAGGGGTGGGAAGGGAAGGGAAGGACAGTCACCAGCTCGAAGGTGGACAGGCACTAACTTGAGTAAAAGGGAGGCAATATACAAGGGGGAGTTCAGTACAGAATGATCAAGGCATAGGGGGATGCTGGGAGGAGCCCAGGGTTAAAGACAATAGAGGTGAACAGTTACGTACACAACCCTGCAATGACAGTAATAACCAAGGAGTGGACATACAGACAGACACTCAAGCTGAACAGGGATGGGAAGGCGAATGGGACTACACCCATGAATACATGCAGTTTGACAGAGGTTATCTCTACTTATATGTTTCTATGGGCTGCAGATACATCCAGGAATGTACTGTAGCACACAGGGGACAAAGTTATGAAAATGTCTTAAAAAAAAAACAACTCACTGCCGTCCAGTTGAATCCGACTCATAGCAACTTCTCCTTCAGTTTCCAAGGCAGTATCACTACAGAAGTAGATTGCCCGACCTTCCTTTTGAGGAGTGGCTGATGGATTTAAACCACCAGCCTTCTGGTTAGCAGTCAAATGTTTTCATCATAACCAAACATCTCAAGGGATGAGCTGCTGGGTATGGAGGCTCAGGACTACAGTATCGGGGACATTACGGTCAATTGGCATATAACACAGTCCACAAAGCCAATGTTCTATATCCCACTTTGCTGAATAGTGACTGGGGTCTGAAGAGCTTGGGAGTCACTATCTAAGGTTTAGTTGTTGGTCTCTCCCTGTCTGGAGCAAAAAAGAGTGAAGAAAACCAAAGATGCAGGAAACAGTCAGTCCAAAGGACTAATGGGCCATGTGGACCCCAGACTCCACAACCCTGAGACCAGAAGAACTAGATGGTGCCTGGCTACCACTACTGACAGCTCTGAAAGGAATTGTAGTAGGAAGTCCTGGACAGAGTGGCAGAAAATGTGGAACAAAACTCAAAATCATTAAAAAAAAAAAAAAAAAAGGCTTACTAGTCTGATGAGGACTGCTGGAACCCAAGATTATGGCCCATAGACAC